AAAAAGAGCCGTACAAAAAATTTCAACTATCTAGGCATAGAGTTACCAGATTTTCTGAAAAGATTTGTCAAATTCAGTCCATTCTTCATTTATCATCACCTAAAGCTATTTAAGATTATGGGGTACTGGAAATCTCATTATTTTGGTATATTTTTGCTTATTCGAAGCATTTCGGTTCGATTCCGCCAATTTTTTAATTAAAGCAAAAGTTAGTCCTAATAATTGCTCAAATATCCATTCAGAAATTAGAGAATATCCATATTTCTATAGGGTTACAAAAGTGATCACAAAAAATTTATTACATTTTTAGCTCCTTTTCTACGAAAATCGCTTTTAATTTCAAACCTTTAATTTTTCATGACGTAATAATTTCAAATATAAAGAATGAAATTTTTATGTTGCTGGAAAAATTGTTTATTCTAAAAATATTTTAATTGAATGTTTTTGTGAACATTTGTGGAAATCACTTTAAGTTTGAACCCGAAAATAGCGATTAAAAATAAGAAATAAAATTCTTTTTTGAAGCGAAAAATTTGTAGTCATGAAAAAAAATGCGCTTTTGGGGACATAAAAGTGTGAATCTCCTTAAAAAGTGCTATTTCTCATTCAGCATAGCATTATTAAGGATAATTTTGGGATATTTCTTCCAATTTTTTCTTAATCCGAAATAGAAACAATCTTCTTAAGTAGGAAAAACAACCCCATACCATTACGTATCCGCCACCATGTTCAATGAATTCCATTGTATATTGGGGACAAAATTCAGTGTTGGAAGGTCTATGACTTTTTTACATCTGACCACAAAATATTTTGATTCTTGGGGAAATTTCAAATGTTCTATGGGAAATTAGATTTTTATCTTCAGGATTTTTTAAATACCATATAAGTCTTTTCTACTAATTTTATTTATTTTTATTTACATATATATTTAGTTATTTATTCAGAAGTAATACAAAGTCTATTAGGCCAATCTTACGTACTACTAAGCCATAACACCTAAGTATATAAACTTAACATAAAGTATAAATTGTTGTAAATAATACAAAATAAAATTCAATTACAACTTACTAATTTTTTTAAGAGTTTCCCAAACCTAATGCAAATAACAGTAAGGAAAAATATTAAAAAGCAGTAGTATTAAAATTTTATACTTTAAATTATTTTTATACATGAAAGATCTTATTGTTCAGCTTGCAACATCTAGGTTATATTCCCTTTTAAGGGTACATGAAGCATACAAAAGAGTCATCTTCTGTATAAATCAATATTTTTTGCTCCAAAAAAAGTGCCATTTTTTATTTTCCTCACTATTTTCTTATATTTTACAGCATTTTCTACTATTTTCTTGGAACAGCCAATTATTTCAACAATTTTTCTATAGCTCTTACCTTGGTCATGGAGTGCCTTTATCGTTATTCTGCATCCTCGACTGTAATGCCCCTTTTTGAACTCAAAATTATAATTTGTGCATAATATTGTTTTAGAATTATAAAAAGAAGCCTGGCTATTTGGATCGATTTCAAATTGTCAAATTTTGACATTATTATTAAATGGCTCTATTTTAGTCACACGTTTCTATATAGCTTAATTTTAAATTACGAATAGCGACGAGTAAATTATGGAAAAAATAATGGTATTATATTTATAGAATTCTCTATATTTATAGAGAATTTAAGTGAAATGACACTTTGAAAGAGCAGGAACTATATGACATGACAAATGATATAACCGTACCTTTTTTGATTGTAAGTCCTTTTTTGAAGAGTTTTCCATTTTTACATATTTTATGCAACAAAATAATATTAAATTTTGATATCAAATGAAAGGTCTTTGAAAGGCATTTTCAATGATGTATCAGTTATCAATGTGTTAGTTCAAAATTATTAAAACATTTTAAGATTTTTCGGAAAATTAAATTTTTTTTCAAATTATTCTATGGTTTTATTTAATGTAATAAATCAATCTATACAACCGGACACGAAAATATCGCTTTATAGCTATATAATTATGTTAATTATAATACCAACCTTTTAAAAATCGGCATATCTAAAATTTTGATTTATTCAGTAGTATAAATTATGGACACTTCAAAATACATTTTTTTTTTGTTTTAAATTTAAGTTTTCATTCATTTTCATATTAAACTAGCTATACCCAGTGTGCTTTGCTACCCCAAAAGCAATATAAATAAAAAACCCACTTGCACATGGGAGATGCCACGCAAATTATTGCAAGTTCGCCAATTTTTCCAAACACTAATAAGGATTTTAATGTTAGCTATGAAAAATGTGAATATGTAATATTGTATTGTATTTAATTTATATGGGAGGGTCCAATCCCCCCATTGAAAGTCCGCCCATTTTTCTCTAAATGCTCACATGAATGTCAAAGTTCTTCAAGTGAAATTTGAAGATTCTAGCTTCTAAAGTATCTCAGATATAAACTTTTTTCTATATAATTCGTATGGGGGTTCCAAGCCACCCCCTGATGAAAGTCCGCTTTTTTCCCCAAAATATTCAGATGAATATGTAAGTCCTTCGTGCAAAATTTTAGGAGTCTAGTTCTATTAGTTTCTTAGATAAAAGATTTTTTTGTATTTAATTCATATGGGGGGTGCCGCTCCCCCCATTGGTAGTCCGCCAATTTATTACCCAAAATTTTTACATGTATGCAAAATTTGAAGCTTTTAACTCTAATAGTTTCCAAGATAAACGAATTTTTGTATTTAATTAATATGGGAGGTACCACGCCCCCTGCTGCTAGTCCCCCCTCTCATTTTGTCGGAGCCACATAAGTCTCAATATGATTATTTAGGATAATCATATTGAGACTTATGTGGCTCCTACAAAATTTGAGGATTCTAACTGTTATATTTTCTGGGATATACTGATTTAATATTTTCTTAATATGGAAGGTGCCACGCCCACTATAGTCATTCCGCCCATTTTGTCCAAAAATATTCTTATGGTTGTCAAAGTTGTCCGTGCTAAATTTGAGGATTGTAATTGTACCAGTTTCCAAGATATACGACTTTTAATAGTTATTTAGTAAGTAGGGGTGGCACCCACTTGAAATTTCAAAATGTACATACATACATACATACATACATACTACATACATACATACATACATACATACATACATACATACATACATACATACATACATACATACATACATACATACATACATACATACATACATACATACATACATACATACATACATACATACATACATACATACATACATACATACATACATACATACATACATACATACATACATACATACATACATACATACATACATCATACATACATACAGACATACATACATGCATACATACATACATACATACATACATACATACATACATACATACATACATACATACATACATACATACATACATACATACATACATACATACATACATACATACATACATACATACATACATACATACATACATACATACATACATACATACATACATACATACATACATACATACATACATACATACATACATACATACATACATACATACATACATACATACATACATACATACTACATACATACATACATACATACATACATACATACATACATACATACATACATACATACATACATACATACATACATACATACATACATACATACATACATACATACATACATACATACATACATACATACATACATACATACATACATACATACATACATACATACATACATACATACATACATACATACATACATACATACATACATACATACATACATACATACATACATACATACATACATACATACATACATACATACATACATACATACATACATACATACATACATACATACATACATACATACATACATACATACATACATACATACATACATACATACATACATACATACATACATACATACATACATACATACATACATACATACATACATACATACATACATACATACATACATACATACATACATACATACTACATACATACATACATACATACATACACATACATACATACATACATACATACATACATACATACATACATACATACTACATACATAACATACATACAATACATACATACATACATACATACATACATACATCATACATACATACATACATACATACATTACATACATACATACCTGATTATTAATTGACATTTGATTGCCACCTCAAAAACACTCTCTTACTTGTTAACATACAGTTAACAGTGACCCCCAACACTTTTTTAATTACAAAGTAGTAAATTAGAAAAGTGTTAAAAGAAAATAAAACTTGTGTAAGATCCATTTTTTTTCATTTGTTAAAAATCATGCAAAATTTATATGTAATATTGCTTTTTTGTATATTTTGTTATTTAATACGTAAGTTTTTAATGTAAAAACGTAAACGATGGTAGACTAAAATATGTGAAATGTAGTTAAGGGTTTTGCAAAATGTTAAAATTGCTGAATAACAAATATTTCTAATTGCAAGATAAATAATATATATTTTAAAACACTGTTTCAACAATTTATCAGCCAGATTTCGAAATTTTGTCTACGGATTTTAAGAATATTTCATTTAAGTACGTTTCCGCTTTGATAAAGTCGATACGTTTGTATGCTTAAATCCTTGCAAATTGTAATATTTCATATTAATTTATAGTATTATTAAAAAAAAAAATAAATAAATATTCCAGGGTTTTTGTTGCTTGGGTGTTGATTTACTTTTTATTTATGACAAAAATGTAAAGATGTTGTTAATAAGATTATTGTTTTAATTATTACTAAAACTTTAACTATGTTTTGTAAATGTTAGTTTACTGGTGCTATTCTCAAAAATATTAATCATTAACCTAGTTTAAAAAGTTGTAGGCGTTACTTTATAATTATTTTTACAAATACATATTACAACATTAGTAAACTTATTTGGAATGTAATTAACTTAATATTTGTACATTTTATAGTGACAACTCCGTTGTTTGGAAATAGTCGAAGCTATGTAGATCCACATACGTATGAAGATCCAAACCAGGCTATACGAGAGTTTGCTAGAGAAATTGATGCTAACTATATTACCATTGAAGCGATTATTGGTAAGTGAAATTGTTTATGATTTCATTTATTTTTATTTATTTGATTTAATAATATTCAATAACCTAGCCTATAGGCCATAAGCGGTTACATTTGTTATTTATACCCTACACCCACCTTAAAGTATACCGATCGATTCGGAATCATTTTTTGAGTCGATTAAGACATGCCCGTCCGTGTGTCCGGCTGGCTGGCTGGCAGTCCATGTAAACTTTGTGCGCAAGGTACATGCCGCAATTTTCAAGATAATTTGATGAAATTTGGACCAAGCATGTTCGTTGGCACAGGGACGAAGCCTATTGAAAATGGTTGAAATCGGTCCATTATTTCACCTAGCCCCCATACAACCGTACCTCCCGATTTGGACTTTTTATGCCATAATTACGTGAAATATACTACTATCTCTCTAAAAATTGGCACAAATAAGTTTTATAAAAGTATAAATGACACTGCAGATTTTCGTAGTGATCGGCCCTTATTTGACCCTAGCCCCCATACAAACCCCTCTTCAAAAAATGTCTTAAACGTCTAAAATTGACTTGTAACCATTTGTATCGCAATGAAACTCAACAAAACTAACTGTTATTTAGAAATATATCCTTTTCCCAAATTTAATGAGGATCGGCCCATGTTTGACCTATACTCCTATATGAAGCCTCATTTAGAAAATTTGTTTTTTATCAAAAAATTGCTTACATACTTTGCAATTAAGGTAAAATTCAACATAAAAGTTTCGTTATGAAAAATAAAAATTTTTAAAATATACTCATGGTGTAGGGTATTATATGGTCGGCCATGCCCGACTATACTTTCCTACTTGTTTTGCTTTTGAAATAGTTATACAAATATACATACATATGTATCCATATATTTTATATCGAGTGGCACAGAATGCTGTACATGAACTTAAATGCAGGTTACGTAAAACTTAATATGTTTTTTACAATTTTTATATTTTTTATTAACCAAAATCATATCGCATTATTACATGTAAAAATTTTTAAAATAAATTTTAGTAAAAATAGAATTTTATTAAAGAAATTAATTTTTCAATACACAGTTTCGTACCCTATCTATATCTTCTATATCTATATAAGTATATAAAATTCTAACGTTACTGACTCACTGATTCATCATCGCCAGCCTAAACGGTTGAAGCTAAAGAGCTGAAATTTGGACAGGAGATTGGCCTTCCACCAAAAAGATGCACTAAGACGGGATTTTTGGAAATTCGAATGTTTAGGGGGTAAAAAAGGGTAAAAACGGGTAAATTCGGTAACATCATATCTCCTAAACTAGAATAAACGGGGAATAAACGGGTAAAAACTGTATTTTGGTACTTTTTTGCACCCCATGTATCTTTTATGCCAATGAACATACAAACATTTTTTTTGACTCCTTCATAACCTTACGAAAAAGTAATAAAAATACAAATTTAGTATTTTTTGGATACTCGGACGTTTAATTTTCTGTATATTCTCTATATTTTCATTCTCCAACTGATATTTTTTGAGTTTCCTGTAATATTGAAACTATAATCAATCATTATGGATTGAAAATCTATGAAATATTGAACCTAGGAACCTGTATGAAAATCTATAAATGGGGACACACAGTGGTATAGGAAAAACAAAGAGGGAAATAATTCGGTAACTTCTAAACGGTTAATCCGATTTTGATGAAATTCTCTAAAGATGTTGAGTTTCCCCTAATTAATTTGTCACTTATTAGAAATCCCGGAATTCCCAAAAAAGTTTTAAAAAATCCCAAAAATGGGATTTTTTGGTTTTTTGCCTATTATATCCATACCAGGGGCGGGGTTATCGAAACCCGTTACAAAATGATTAAGAACATATTGGGTCATATAAAACAGGTCACTATAATTTGATATCGATTATTCGATTTGAGAATTTTTGCTCAAAATTGAATTTTCCATAAAAAATAGGGTTTTTTTGGATGGACCTGGTCCCCTCGGTATCAAAAATTTTTAGGTTTTGTTTCATTTATCGTATTTTATGTAAAGTCAGCTTTCCAAAAGTATAAATTCTATATACATCTTCTTAGAAACTTTTTAGATAACTTAAAAAGAAAAAGATACTTTTTTCCCAAAAAAAATGGCAAAAAATCGCCTTTTTTTAATTTTTTAAATTAAAATAATATAACTTTGGACTCAGTCATGATTTTTACATAATTCTTTCACTGCTTGATATATAAACTTGTTGTTAAGCGAATAAAAAAAATGGGAAATCGGGAATATTTGGACCCGCTATTATCAAAAAACTAAAGTAAGGACGGTAAAAATTTTAAAATTTTAATTTTCAAATGCGAATATCTCCTAAACTATAAGAGATAATTTACTGCGACATTTTTTATAGTGCTCGATGAGGAGATTCTATATACGAAATTTTTTTTAAATCGGAACTCAAATGAAGAAATAGGATCGTTTTAAAAATTTAACATAGCCGAGGTGTCCTAATTTGAGGACCCCCCGCCGGGCCCCTGGTTGGCCTATAAGGTCCAAATTCAAAACCTAAACTCGACAACACCTCCTCTTTGTGCATACCAAATTTCATCAAAATCGGATTAACCGTTTAGAAGTTACCGAATTATTTCCCTCTTTTTTTTTCCTATACCACTGTGGGACATTTGATATTGCAGATATACATACATGTATATTGGACTTACTGAAAATTTACAATAATATTTTTTTATTTCATTACGATGAGGGTAGCGAAGCACACTGGGTATAGCTAGTACATATATAAAAATGAATGTGTGTTTATTTATTTGTTTGAAGTTTATAGACGACTAAACTGCTATACCGATTTTCTTGAAATTTTCACAGTGTCTTTGTGTATGTCTGGAAGGAACTATACTTTTATTTTGATATTTCAAGTAGGCAAAGTTCCACGCCCACAAACAAAGTAAGTATTAAAAGTAGTCTATTTCAGAAACTGCTACAGCTAGAGTCCTCAAGTTTTGAATGGACAATTTTGACATAGGTATGAACAATTGTGGGCAAAATGGGCAGACTGGGTATAGTGGGCGTGGCACTTCCTATATACAGAGAATATTGGATTAGTATTTCTGAGAATAAATGTATGTATAAGGTAGAATGCTCAAATTTTATGAGAGCCACTTTAGTAATACAGTCAAACTCGTTTATAACGAACTCGGTTATAACGAATTTTCGGTTATTACGTACATATTTTCAAGTCCCGACGTTTTGATAAATATTTTCATATAAAAAACATCTTTTATTACGAACTCGCTTATAACGAATTCTCGGTTAAAACGAACTACTTTAAATGGTCCCAAATAATTAAATTTAAAACATTTTACTTTTTTTATAACGAACCATCAAAAATAAGTTTGAAGTGTGGCAATAGTGTTTACTTTTATGCAATATGGTAACATTCAATTTTAACTCAACATCTTCAATCAGCTGATATGTAAATAAAAAATAATTAAAACGTCAGTTGCAAAATGATTTCAAAATGTCTAATAATAAGAAAAAACCGCTGTCTGTGCTTAAAATATTCTATGAAATAGATGATAAACAGAAATCAAAGTCAGCTATTTGCCAAGAATATAATATACCAAAGTCAACATTATCTACAATTTTAAAAAACAGAACAAAAATTGAAAGTTTTTATAAAAAAAATCAAAAGTCTTCAACCAAAAAATGCGTGCTTCAAAGTATGGAGCGGTGGAAAGGGCTCTGTTGATATGGTTTCAGCAGCTTCGTGCCGAAAACACACCTGTTTCTGGAGGCTTAATGATGGAGAAAGCCAACAAATTGGCTAAAGACCTTAATATCTATTTTAAGGCAAAAAATGGCTGGTTGGACCGCTTCAAAGCTAGAAATGAAATTGTTTTCAAAAAAATTTGTGGGGAGTCTACAAGTGTACAACCACAAATGACAGTAAATTGGACAACCAATACACTACCTTCCCTTTTGAGAAAATACGCAACAAGTGACATTTATAATTGTGATGAATTTGGCTTATTTTATAGATGTTTGCCCGACAAAACATTGGCATTTAAAGGAGACAAATGTTTTGGTTCAAAAACCTCAAAGGAAAGGCTAACCGTTTTAGTTGGATGTAATGCAGATGGCTCCGACAAACTTCCATTATTTGTGATCGGAAAATTTAAAAAGCCACGATGTTTTAAAAACGTTTATGAGCTTCCTTTGCAATATGAAGCAAACAAAAATGCTTGGATGACATCAGAATTATTTTTGATGTGGTTGAAGAATATGGATCAGTATTTTCAAAACAGAAATAAAAAAATTGCTTTAATTCTTGATAATTGTACCGCACATCCATCTGTAAACTTAGAAAATATTGAACTCATATTTTTGTCGCCGAATACTACAAGTGTGTTGCAGCCGTGCGACCAAGGAATTATTAAAAATCTGAAGCATCACTACAGGAAAATTATTTTAACCAAATATCTTGCCGCAATTGAAATGAAACAAAAATTAGATGTCAATGTTTTAGAAGCGTTGTTTATGTTAAAAATGGCTTGGACTAATGTGAGCCAAAGTACAATTGGCAATTGTTTTCGTCATTGTGGTTTTGAGCAAGAGTTTTTGATTTTGAATGACAATGTGAATGAAATGCCATTATCAACACTGTGGGAACAAACAAGTGTGGAATGTGTCTTTGGAAGAATATATAAACATAGATGAAAATATTTTAACGTCGGCGCCCTTATCTGATAGTGAAATTGTGGAAATTGTAAATCCTCCATTTAATAATAATTTGAGTGAAGAAGAAGATGAGGTGGAAATAGAGAATGAAATACCTAAAATTGAAAATGTGCATATTTTTTTGCAAAAAATAAAAAGATATGTTCAATCAAAGCCTTATGCAGAGGAGGCAAATGACCATTTATATGCCTTAGAAAACTATATATATCAGCAGATATTATCAGTGCTGCAATACAACGCAAAATCACAGACTTTTTTAAAAACACATAAATGTTTATTATTAAT